AAAAACGAGTTTTGTGAAGTTTTGCCACCGTCTGCTGTTTCAGAGCAAAAGTAAATGATTTCGAGAAAATGGAAGCAACATCTTTGAATGCAGCTGTTCCATCCAGCATTTTGGTCTAGGTTCCGAAAATTTCCAGCGTGTCTGATTGTTAGACCTGGTTAGCAACGGAGCCCATGCAACCCATGATGATGTACTGTAGCAACAGGATGTTTGAATAGCATGTTATATATTGATATTGTGGTTTCATCCGTCTAAAATAAAGCTTATTTAACCGCTAAAAAGTTTTCTGCTCCTTAAAATAACTTACAATTATAACGTTATACCATGTAAATTCACAGCATTTTTCGTTTATGATTTTTACCTGGGATAATATTCCATGCACAATGATCGAACTCCGATATGATCACTATCATTCCTAGCAAACTGACCTTTCGCTTCAGCTCAGGCATGCTTCTTCTCTCGACAACTTCTCGAAATTCTTTTTGGTGTAAAACAGGCTTCTTTCTGCGTTTTTTAAATTTGCATGTCTATTATTATATGAAGTGAATATAAAAGAGCTTTTAAGCAAAATTTATGTGAGAAATTGGGACTTAACAAGTCCTAATTTAAGCGAATCGATAGAAAGAAAATTAAAAATCGCTGTCAAAAAATCTTATTTTGCTCTATAGACGAAAGTATATCATGTAAGAATAAAGCAAAAAATGCCTTTTAAGGACTACACCAGAAAGCCAAAAATCTGAGTCAGTAATAATCTAATCGGAATCCGAGTTTACTCCGTGTTAACTCAAAGATAACTCTGACTTCCGTTTTTGAAACTAGAGTTATGCTTATTAAAACTCCGAGTTCCGCTCTCAAAGTTCCGAGTTCCAGCTCTCAAGCTCGAAGTTCTGCTGTTTGAGAGCTGTTATGCACTTTGCTGCAAAAGCGACTTTGAAGTTGGGACTCGAACCTGTTCCTAGCGTAATGACCCCATCACCCGCTAGACCATGATACACCCTTCAAATTCAAAGTTGTTTTGCCATAATATATTGCGTTAACACAAGGCAAGTCAAAACATGTTTTATCAAAACCTCACTCGCTTTCATTTCTGTCAAGAAGTAGTGATTTCTTGCACGAAGTGTTCTTTTGCGCAGCCGAAAACTCAAAGAATAGAGAGAGCTGATGGCATACGCAATGTTAAAAATGGACTATCAGGGTCTGCGCATAAACCCTCCGCGCAAAACTTGCTCTTATTCTATGATTAGGCCCACTTACAGTATATCTACCGTAATAGCACAAAATGACACTAGTGCACGGAGCAGATAAACCATGACCACCGCCCCGAAGAACCCAAGTGTACCAAGTTTCGATCAGTTTTCTGGTTTTCTCCCATCTACTGTAGACCTGCCATAATCATGCCAGATGCCAACGCAGTATAAATTGCATACCAAATTCGTGGTCAGTGCCACAAATAACCCCAAACAGCCTTAGTTCTGGCCAATTTTGCGATTTTCTCTCGTCCACCGTAAACCTACTGTAAGCTGGCTACACGACCCCATGGCTACCTTCGATAGTCTAGAAACAGGGCGTCAAAAGTGAAGGTCGTTTGAATATCTGCCCTCACAAAAAATGAAGGTTGTCCATAGAAGATCAGAGAAGAAGAAAAGACGCAAAACAAATACAAAAGGCAAAAGAAACTGCTGAAAACCGGATAAAAACGCTGCAAAAAGGTTTGAAATCTTTCATTTGGCGGCTTTTCAGGTGCACAGTTTTCCCTCCAGGACCAGGAATTCGCAACACGGGAAAAAACGAGAAATCTAATTTCCTTTTATGTGATTGTTTCAAAAAAAGCCATGTTCGGAAGTAGTGGTTATTGGTTATGAGGAAGAAGATAAACAAGAAAGAGATTGGTATTAGAAACGCAAAGTTTCTTTTTTCTAAGTCGAAATGCACGTCAAGGCCAAATTTAGTTTTTGATGCGTCCTTTGAATCTTTACCCCGCATTGAGGTTCCTGTTTCCTGGGACGTTGTCTGCATTGTAGCTCTTATTGTTCTGAGCAACAATCGCCCAAGCTGGAAAAAAATTGCTGCGAAAGCACAAAACAAGTTGAAGAAGACTTCACTTTTTACGATTTTTCGCAAAAAATTCCACCATAATCGAAGAGATAAGGGCTAGGTGGTTGTCTGCATTATGAACAGGAGCAAGATCTGTAGATTGCACGAGAAAAGCGCATGGAAAGAGTCAAACTTAAAGAAAAACAAGGGATTTTCGAAAGGTTTTTGCCGGATTTCTTGACCAAATCAAAAAATGTGGATTTGGGACGTTGTCATGGTAAAAATAGAGATCAAGAGCTTCAAAATGATATAAAGCTTGCTAAAATTGGGTTGGAAACCTCGAAGAAAAGGGTACCAAATGTCCCCCGCCCCGCGTTTGGGGTAGCGAGGTAGCGCGCAGCGCGCGGAGACGCAAACGAGCAGCGGAGTCAGACCAGAGCCGAGGGGGCATTTGGCTCTGGTCGTAGATCTCCGCGGGGTCTCAATGAAACTCTGCAACATTATAAATCGTTCTGATCGTCATGACACGACGAGGAGCACTGACAATGTCCCAAGCTTTGGAAATCATTCATTAACGAAATAGACCAGCGTTTTCGTGCGCGACTCTTTGCGCAAGATTTAAGCACAGTTCCTCGTTTTTATTTGACTCTAGCAGCTTTCCTAAACTTCTGAAACTTGATTTTGGTCAAGTAATTGGTTGATTGAGAAATGTTGTCCTGAGTTCTGGCAAAAATTTCACAGAAATCTTCTTTTGACGTAAAAAAGGCTATAAAAACGCAAATCCTCGGTTTTGCTGAGATAACCTAGGAAAATTATTTCCTATATTTGCTCCATTAGCATTCATTCCGATATAGTTAGGATAATAACATCCGGGGCGTCGCTCCGAATAACCTCTGTTTTTTTTCTAGGTGAAGGTTGTGTCCCCTTATAGCCCTTGAAGTAAAGGTTACAAGAGTATATGTGGCTCTATGTATCGAAAGTATGCTTTATGGTGAAAAATGAGTACCATACTCGTGATCAGCACATCGAATAGCTCCTGGGTCAAGATTTTACAAAATTTCAAAAAATTTTGAATTACAGCGCACCACGAAATACCTCCTCATGCCTGCTGAAACTACGAGCAAGATGTACTTCGGAGGTTTTTTTAGCTGACCCTTTGTGCACTATTTTTCTTTCTCTGACTAAACTCAGAGTTATCTGAGTTAGTTTCTGAGTTTCACGATAAACTGGAACGCGCAATAAACTGTTATCGGAGAGCTCAGCGCGTTTGGTGACGCTATCTCATGTGCAGAATGACTTGGACGATGTTGCGCTACTAAAAGTAAACTACCGGCTACGGAGTATCCTGTTATATCATCACTTTCAAGATTTGGTCTGTTCAAGCACCTGTTGAGAGGGGTCAAAAAGGCGCTCGTTACCTCAGAAATAATACAAAGTTAACTCTGCGTTATAACTCTGAGTTTCGAGAGGTTTACTACCGCCCCTGTTTCTTTGAATGAGAATAGCATTCTATCGGAATTGATTTTACAAGTTCAAAATCTGTTCAACATATGGTCGTGGGTTTGCTAATTGGCCCCTCACCCTTGATGGTCATGTTATGTTTCCGCAACAAAATTCAAAATGACTTGAAATAATCTGTAATAGTTTTCATTTTTACTAATAGAAGTAATAAAAGCTGAGGGCCTTATGATTTGTGATCGAAATTCTGACCACAGCCTAGCTTGTCCTTGTAAGGTTCGAAACAAAATTTTTGATTTTGCAAAGGCATTCTTGATTCATGGAAAAACATCAGAATGTGTCTGATGTTACGAGTGCATATAAAGGCGGATTGAATTCGAATTAAACCACAAGGAGTGTAAAAAATCCTTTCGTCACGATGTTAGTAGTTGTCATACGATATTATGCCAGTGCCAGGTTTGTATGGTGGAATGTTTTATTGGCCTTACTCAGACATTCGCAGTTAAGTCCCGCCGGAGATCCGCCCACAAAATGAAATTTCGCGAAAAAACCGGGAGTCTTGCGCGACTCCCGGTTTTGTCCCGACTTTCGGGACAATCCCGACAGTTAAAAAGTGGCGGGAGATTACCGGGAGTCGCGATCATCGATTGTGACGCTATTGCGCGTCAGTATCGATTCATTCCTATTTCCACACAGGCTGTTTGTTTTTTTCGATTGGTTTTCGTTTGGTTTTCGTTTTGTTTTCGAGTTGGTTTTCGATGCATAGGACGTAGATTGGCGCAACACCCGTTGTTTTGTGCAATTGCGTGTGCACACGCACACGCAATTGCACAAAACAACGGGTGTACTAATTCCTTTTTAATCATTCTACGCACATACACACGCAATCGAACGCCAAAAAGGATGGTGGGCTATTATCCACCTGTTTCTTTCATCCTTTTCTCTCCACATCATAGTCTGTGCTCTCGCTGTCGACCTTAATACCAACAATCGTATTCATACCTATCGCGGCTTAAATTATTCCTTGTTGAACTTTCAATGCTGTGTTTTGGGTTAGAACATCGAAAAGTTGGTTTTCAATGCATAGGTCGTAGGGTTGCGCAATCCTCATTGTTTTGTGCAGTTGCGTATGCATACACACTGGACCTTACGCCATATAGGATGGTTGGCTATTACTCATCCACCTACAGTTTCCTTCATCCCATTCTCTCCACTTAGTCTATGCTATCGCTGTCTGCCTTAGTAGCTCTAAATCGATTCATATCAATTGCGGCTATACTAATTCCTTTTTAATCATTCAACGTAGGATTTTTCATGAGTCATGCAATCCTGTTGCTTCGACTTCAAATGCGCTGCCGGTAACGAATACGTTTTCGGGTTGCTTGTGGCACAACTTTCTAATATGGACAGAAGAACTACCTAAAAAGTTTTTAGAGGCAGTTAACAGCTTCACAGGAGAAAACTCTTTGTCTTTAGTGAAATTAGGAAAACTTGTACCCCAATTCGAAATGAATCTTGAAAATAAGGTAACGGTACACACCGATGCGAGTAACCATTGCGTTTTTTGTCGTTCAGGAACTGCTAGCGACAAAGATGAAAGAAGTGAATGCCATTAATCTGCAGCAAATCAAGAGTATGCAAAACGCAATCGACTCAATGAGACCATCATCAGACTCAGTCGTGAGAACCTTAGCTGGAATCATAAAAGAGCAAAGCAATATCATAGCTGGACTAAGTCTGACTGTAAGTAAGGTAGATCCAGAACGGAGGGTGAAATGCAGTTCTTTAGATAGACGCAATTCTCTCCAATCAGCAAGAACATGACAAGCAATTACGGAAAGCTTTATATCATATAGCGAAAGGCAACGAAGTTACTTTACCAGCAGAACATGTATTTGAGCGAAAGAATTTCACGAAGTCGTGGAAATTCAACGGATTTCCTCCATTCAAGGTTACCCATTGTAGTTGTTATCGATACAGCAGCACTTAATTTTGTTTCAGAATGCTAACATGATCGAGTTATTCGAGAACTGGACGCAGCCATCAAGGGGCACACAAAAATGACCATTTTTTGTTAATAATGGATTTTTATACGTTCTATTTTTTGCATGTAAGTGAGGCTAAAATTTCGAGTCTTTACTGAAGAGAGGCGCACTTAGGCATGCGAACCAAAACAAGAAATCCAAAACTTTGCATGCAGACAATCCGGTAAAAGGGGAAGATTTCCGCATCTGCAGGACCTGCCCGAAAGTCAGTTCAAATTTTTGATAAGTGAGTGATTGATGGTCTTTCTAAAAATTCTAAAATAGATCTTTCAGATTTCGTTCTTGATGGTGTTAGCCTATACGCAGAAGAACTGCTGATGAGTGCTTCCGAATGCGCGCGGCAATCAAATAGGTATAGATAGAAGTGTTTCTAACCTTGATATTTCATTGATTTAGATTTTGGCTGGGCCTAGGGAACGACGATGAGGCTAGGACGAAGACGTTTGACAGGTTGTCGGAAGCGAGGATAAAGCCTAATGGATTAGCACAAGTGGCTATAGGAAGAGCTTTGTGGGTTTCTTTCAAAGATAGTCTTCACGAATCTAATGAATTTGAAGTTTAGAGGTGACGTGCGCGCCTACCATTTCGATGCTGATAAGGAGATGCTGTCGCCACCCTTGGTAATATTCATTTATGATTTCTCAAATCAGTGTTAGATTGTTACTCTTTTCCAGAAAAAACGTTTTTGCTCCATTACAACGCAAGATTCTTTAGCGCACGAGCACGCGAATGAGTCGTAGCATGAACAAGACGAAAAGATCGAAAATATGAGGTCGATTTGAATTATGGATTCGATCTCACACACTGATCTCGACATTCCTGTTTTTTTGTCGATTTTGTCGAAACGTATACGTTTCGACAAAATCGTCTTCGTCGGAGGCCTGAAAGTAGATTGCAGTGTTATCTGTGGGACCAGACCGCCAAACGCCCCCCCGCACTGCCGAGTCTAGACCACGCTCCGCACTCAACGTACAGGCGCATGTCGATGAGAAGAAAACCTTTATCCACCGTGGTGCTAGTGAGAGTCAGTAGAGTCAGTACTTAGTCGCACCGAAGAGACAGACGACACTGCGTGCTGTCCTATGATCAACACTTAGGCCCGTATGCACGTACATCCCCGCGGGGAGGGGAGGGGATCTGAGAGGGGAAGCGTCATATTTCGCTACTCTGTATACCTTTCTTTTTCCTTCTCTACCTGTAATATGAAGGTTCTCATACACTGATATCTAGGTATAATAGATGCCAGGTTACTGCCATACAAGATTAGATTTTAACCAGCTTGTGTGATGCTTTGTGGATCCCCAGGGGATCACCTCATTTTCGAAGTCATTTATCTTTCTGAAAACTCCATGAAAATGCCGTAAAGTTGTACTGAGGATATACTACGGCATTGCTAAGCATGTTTTTGACAGAAGAAATGGAATCTGAAGATTAAAATTTTTTCGATAATCCCTGGCTCGCGAGCAGCGGTTCATCGAAAATTTCGATATCCTGAGATTTCTCTTATTTTTACCACAGACATGTTTAGCAGTACCATATTATACCTTCAGCACTAATTTAGAACATTTTCATTGAATTTGCAGGAAGATAAATGACTTTGAAATTGAGAGGTGATCCCCTGGGGATCCCCAGGGGATCACACAAAGTTGTAAAAATCTAATCATGTATGGCAATAACCTGGCATCCATTTTGCGCAGGTATAGGGTACGAGAACCTTCATATCAGAGATAAAGAAGGAAGACGAAAGATACACAGATTAGCGAAATATGACGCTTCCCCTCTGAGATCCCCTCCCCTCCCCGCGGGGATGTACGTGCATACGGGCCTTATATATGGGCAGACTATCGCTCACAGATCGTAAGATAGGCAAGAGTTCAGCTGTTATTGATACGCATTCACTTTTGTTGTTCATGTTAGGATTTCGAAGGGAAATCCACGCTGACTCAACGATTTTCCTCACTGTAATCTCTGCCTCGTATGACAAAGCAGCGCACTTAATGTCAAATTCACCGCCGTTGTGCGTTGCTATTCTGTGTCTTCCTAACGGTGACATTGCATTTGCTCGTCTTTTTGCCGCTAGATGCTCCCTAAGTCTAACATTCAGCAATCTACCCGTTTCTCCGATATATGTCACCTTGCAGTTCAAGCACTCGAACTCATACGCTTCTCCTGCGTTCGCGCAATCACCTACTTTTCCGTATGGGCAGACAATGCATAGAGCCTGTTCCTTACCAACTGCTTTTTAATGTTCTCTTTCGAAATGTTCACAAGCATAACATCATTTTGCAGTTGTGCCCGCTTTATACATTGTTTAATTGCTGCACTAGATTTATTGGAAATGAAAGGCATACACAAGGGCACCTTGTTATCCTGAGCGTGGCTATTTTGTTCGCAAAATTGGAAGCGCAGCTTAAACGTTGTGGCAAGTAACCATTGCTACGCGCAATTTGTGTAGCCAGTTTTACGGACTCGAGTCGTTCTTGCTCTCCTGTGCATACACTTATAGCAGTTCGATACATATTGCGCACAACGGCTCGTTTCACTCAGGCATGAATTGGCATGCAGCAGTATATTTTTTTGAAAAGATTTCGAAGACTATTTTGTCGAAACGTAAGGCCAATACATTCCACCGTACAAACCTGGCACTGGCATAATATCGTATGACAACTACTAACATCATTCCAAATGCCCAGGTTCAGAGACGAGAGAACATTCACTTTACTGACTGGAATACAGCCACGCTTCCTCTCTCTTGTACGCAAAGCCCTGTCGCTTCGCCAGCGAGCAGTTGCAGTCCGGCAATCCGTCATCTTCCTCCAGCGGTGTGGAAACAATGGGCTCATTTCCGCTTTCATTTCAAACAAGAAAATAGGAGTTACCTGTGTTATCTTTCCGAAAATGACCCAAAGATAGGAAGTGTTTATCATATGATGATGAAGATTATCATCAAAGAAAGACAACGAGTTTTGTATAGTACGTTATTGAAATGTAAAGCAAAGAGTTGTATTGTCAGCGTTTTCTATCTGAACATGTACGGAGGAGGATTGAGAGGGAATCGAAGTCAATTTGTGCTTCCATTCGGTCTAAGGCTAAAACCAAGCTGCGCTCGAAGTACGACCGCCTCTCGGATTCACTACGTGATCATCGCGATCAGAAGTACTTACAAGAAATCCACCAATTTTAAGAGAGTCCAGATCCAAATTAAAATGATGCAAAAGTTACTGTTATCGGCGATATTCATTTATCTAAAGAGGCAAAAGAGTTTCTGAATCTCGGCCCGTCCTTCTCACTGTCACAGAATATCAGCGCTTCTCTCTGCCGCAAAGTTTTGGGAAACTTGCATAGACTGCGCGATATGCTAAGAAAAAAAGCTAGACAGGAGAGTGACTTCCAAGTCGTACCATCTTTTAGAACACTACTACCATCGCTGCCATTTTCTCGTTTTTTCTATAAAGAACCTGATCCGATGCCTATTGTCGACAGCAAATTCCGCGTACCTCTCGACTGAATTTTCGAAAGTGTTGCAAAGATTTAAGAACGTGCATCAGAGTAATTTAACACAGCAACAAAGACAAGGTTATAGAGAAATACGCGAATCATTGAAAGAGCCATCTATCCGTGTCTCCGTAAGCGACAAGGGGGAGAGGGAAAATTTGTAATCGTGCCGCAAACGTTAGATAGAGAAATCGCAGAAATGCATCTTTCCGATACTACGATCTACCAGCGTTTTTCAAAAAAAGATTACCAGACACAGTGCAAAAAGCTGAACGATGTTTGGGTTAAAGTGGCGAAATCTGCAGGAATGGAGGAAAGATTCATCAATAGGCTAAAATTAGGCAGCCCACTCTCTCCGGTATTTTATCATCTTTTGAAAACGCACAAGATATCAGCGAGAGAAATTCGCTCAATGTCGGCAACTGCTTATAAGGTGCCCGATAATAAGCTGTATTAGTGGCCCTGCAGAAAGGATTACGTGGTTTTTGAATAAGATCGTAAGCCAGCTCTTACCAAAAGTACCATCGCATTTATCTAACACTCAGCAGTTTATAAAGCAGTTGCGCGATGTGAATATTGACCGGAATAGTGTAGCCGAGTCTTTCGACGTTACGTCTTTGTACACTAACGTTCAAAACAATGACGCACTGCAGGCCTTATCTGAGTTGCCGGAACTCACTACTCGAACATGGTCACTTTTGTTTGAGCAAAGCATGCATACTGGTCCTCATCAAAGAATGTTTGAAATGTAATATATTTAAGTGGTCTGAGAGTTATTACTCACAGATAAGAGGATCGGCCATGGGACAACGTCTGGCCCCAATCCTTGCGATTTGTTTCATGAGCAGATCGAGGAACCAGTTCTTGCACGCTTACCGTTGATGTACCGCCATCGTTACATCAACGACTATTGCGTTATAACATCGGCAGTCCGAAATGGATGAATGCTTCCGAATCCTAAACCAGCAGTCGCGGTACATAACGCTTATAAGAGAAACCCCCAAAAATTGATGGTTTCCTTTCTAAATACCCAGATAAATCTATCCGGTGATACCATTCGCATAAAATGGTACCGAAAAGAAAGTTCAAAGAATATACTGCTGCATGCTAATTCGGCGCACCCGATCACAGTGAAACGAGCCGTTATGCGCAATATGTACCGAACTGCTATAAGTGTATGCACAGGTGAGCAAGAACGACTCGGTTCCGTAAGACTGGCTACACAATTGCGCGTAGCAATGTACTTGCCACAACGTTTAAGCTGCGCTTCCAAGTTTCCTAACAATAGCCACGCTCAGGATAACAAGGTGCCCTTGTGTATGCCTTTTATTTCCAATAAATCTAGTGCAGCAATTAAACAATGTATAAAGCGGGCACAACTGCAAAATGATGTTATGCTTGTGAACATTTCGAAAGAGAACATTAAAAAGCAGTTGGTAAGGAACAGGCTCTATGCATTGTCTGCCCATACGGAAAAGTAGGTGATTGATTGCGCGAACGCAGGAGTAGTGTATGAACTCGAGT